TTCCAGTCTGCTCTGGGACCAGGAGCGTCACTGAGAACTTATATGGAGTGAGAAGGATTTCAAGAAGGATTTGAATAAGATTTTTTGGCAATCTGTTCATGCACTGGAAAAACTCTTAAATGAAGTGTATTTACCCTTAATTTCAGTGGGTGAATAAGAGGATTTGCCAATGGAATTAGTATTTTTACTCTTAAAATAAGATATTTAGATGAAATGCACTTGAAATAAGACAATGCAACTGTGTTTTCTTATTTTAAATGTAAATTATCTTGTTCCATTGGCAAAATGTATCCTTCACCTCCTCAATCCAAGAACAAATGCAGTTATTTTAAGAGAAAATTAATTATAAAGATTTTTTTTTCCAGTGTGGAAATATAGCCTGTGCATCTTCATGTGGACTAGGCCTAAAAGCAGCTGTAGATGTCTCCATACCCTATTCAGCTTGCATAGTTTGATCTGAAGTCTCCTCTTATTGTAAATGACCTTATTTTTAAAATAGCCTTCCAATAATTTGCTTTGATCAACCAGCTTAGAGTGTTGGGATGTCTCCAGGAAATATCCTGTTCCTTCCTGAGTTGCCATGTTTTCAACTCATCCATCCTTCATCGGTTCTCACCCTGAGCCAAAGCACTTCCCCACAGCCTTATGCTGCCACCACCGTTCATTTGTTTCCAATTTTCAAAGTGGTTAAGAATTGTATAGATCTCAACTATGTAGAACAACTCACTGATTTTGGATGCTTGATGCCAGTTATTTGAGATAAGGAAGCTTATAAAGGAGATTTAGGTTAAAAAAGCTATTTTGACGGATAGATAGGTCATCTTTAGCTGCTTCTCTCTTCCTGTTCAGCCAACCTGAACTCATGCTCTTGTAAAGCTCCTCTACGGATGAAGGAAAAACTTGTCGGTGCTTTTTATCGCTCAATAAGAAAAACTGCTCTTTTGCTGCCTGACGCTGAGCTGTTTTTTTTTTTTTTTATTCTTCCCCACATCGATCAGGTCAGTGGTTCACAGACAAGAGCAAGTTGGACCACAGAGGAAAATCTGATATCACAGCGACACAAAGCATGAAGGGAAATGTAGCTTTCTGCTGGGATAAAAAAAAAAAGTACCTGCAGCTTTATGTGGTGGGAAGAATATTATGGTGAGTTTGAAGGTAGAAAAAATGTGGAGAAAACACAATCTAGGTCAGTGAAGGTGGGGGAACCTGCCATCATGGATGTTCAGCAATTTGCACCTTCTTTTAGAGAGGAGCAGCTAAAGAAACCTACGATGCTGCATGAAGCTGGCCTGTTTCCATGTAGGGCAGTCAGGTGGGGGAAAGCAACCCAAGGTCGGCGCTGTTTGACTGGGACGTGTTTTTCTGAGTTGTTAGGTTAAGTCCCAGAAGACGTGGCCTATCAGTGTGCAGAGTAAAGGCCAGCTGACCCAGGGTCTGTGTGCCAAATACTCTGAAAGAGGCGCTGCCCTTCATTTAACCTGGCCGCCAGAGATCCTTCTCATTTGGCCTTTCTTTTCTTTGGTTCTACAGTATTGCTTTTTTAATAATCTTTTAGAAAGTCTTTCCCTCCTGAACTTCTACACTGACGCTATCTTGTTGCTGTAGCTCTATGAAAGATTCATCCTCCTTTAATATTAAAAACTCACAGTTTGGGGAAGGATTTTGTTTCCATGCAGCCTGATTAGTTTTTCTTCTCTCCCACTGTAAAGCTAAAAAAACTCCTCCCACTTCCCCCACATCCTGATCCCTGTTCGCCGTGCTGCTTTTGGATACATAAGAACAACCAACATAGAATGAGTTTGATGCAGGGTGATTCAGTTCACAGCTTTTCCTCCCAGCTGATGAGACACGATGCCATCATGTTTCATTAGTGGATCATAGATGGCACCGTTGATGATATAAACATGAGCGATGCCTTAGGCAGGGTGTCATATTTTTCTTCCTTCTCCTTTCTCATAGTAAAACATCTCTGAAGCTCTTTCCGTTTGCTCAGAGGTTGTTTGCTCCCCAGTCGTGGTTTTAAGAATGCCGTAATATAGTGGAAACAAGAGCTTTAATATAAGGGAAACTCTTTTTTTCTGTGGTTCTCTTGAAACGAGGTTGTCTGCATCAATATCCACCAAGGATACGGTCCTGTGCTTCTTCCTGAGAATGTACCAGTTACTCACTGATCTTTATGGCTACTTATCGCTCCCAATTGAGAAGCTTATGAATATCTTCTTTTAAACACAGTTGATATTTTTTTTCATTCGATAAATATCTGTTGGGCGGCCTTGGTTTTCAAATTATGTTGAAGTATGTGGATCTCCTCTTCTGTAACACTTTAAATTTATTTAATCACTGCTTCAGGAACCTCTTTATTTCTAAAACTGCTTTTCAGAAAAAAATAATATTACATAAGAAAAGGAAAAATGGATTTTAATAGAGAAACCTTGTGGCGTACGGACTGATGAGAGAGACTGCTGACATGCCCTCGCATGGAGGGTCGTTGCTGCAGAAGCTGGCAGTTCAGTGCATCATCCAAGCATATCAAAGGAAGGTTAAGTGGAAGGATGAAGGATAGTGAGGAAGAAAAAAAGTGCAAATGCAGTGATAATAAACAACAGCCTTGAGAGGATTGTGATTCTACAGGTGAATCCAGGATATGAGCACAGCTGTGGTGAGTTCGCAGAAATGTCAGAAGCATTTTACCGGAGCGAAGGAGGAACAGGACTGCTGCTCAATATGCTGGAAATCCAGCTGCAGAACAATGAAAGACGCACAGGGATTAAAGTATTAAAGTATATTTCCGGCTCGTAGCGATTGTCCACGGGTAAAACAAATCACTCGAAAATAAATTCACTTCATTTCAGTTTATTTCTATAGCGCCAATTCACAACACGTCATCTCAAGGCACTACAGTTCAGCAGATCATCCAGTCAGATTAAATACAGAGGTAAATTTCCCCAATGTGAGATAAAGTTAAGTTGTTATTATTAAATAAGTGTTTCTGTTACTTAATTTAAACCAAAAAGCCTGGCATAGTAGATCTGTTTTAAGATTTAAAAAGCTGTCGTTTTTTTCATAGGAAGATGTAGGTTTTATTGTTCTAGAAAGTAGGGCAAAAAAAAAAAATCATCTTTCAAGGGGTTATAGAATGCTAAACTGACTTTACATTGTCACGATAATACAGGAGGGTGTTAAATCCTGCTTGGCATTTCTTCCTGTCGCACCTCCTCCGGTGCCCATGGGTCGGGTGCAGGGCCGTCAGCCAGGAACCACCATTCACCAACGTTTCGCCCCTTTAATCCTGGAACGTCTCCTGGTGGCGGGGCAGCGACAGGGACGTCTCCCTGTCACCCCCTGCAGCTGAAAGATGTTATTCCCTGCAACTGTTATCTGGGGGTTAGGTGTTATTCCCCCAGGTTCTGTCCTTACTCCGCAGCCAGAGCCAAAAGCTCCCTTTCTCCGCCTCCTCAGCCAGTTCCTTTGTTGCCTTCTTCAGCCTTCCTCCCGTGACTCCCACGTCTTTCAGGAGGCGGTTGACAACCCTGTGAAGCCTCGGCATCCGACCTCTACTGGGTAGATGGTAGTCTTCCAGCCCGCAGCCAGCTCTGAGTACTTGGCCTTCTTTCGCTTAAAGGCAGCTTCGATCCCTTCCTCCATTGGCACAGTGAACTCAATTAGGGCTACCGCTCTTGCCTTTATGGACCATGCCACAATGTCTGGTCAGAGAGATGTGGTGGTGATTTCTGGGGGAAACTAAAGCTTCCTGTCCAGGTCAACCTTCATGATCCACTCCTGGCCAGTAGTGAAGGGCATGCAGTTTCTCTTTGCTTCAAGCTTCTGATTTCTCCTTCCGCGACAAAGAGGGTGGGGTCCTCTGCTGGCGATGGTGTTCTACCACCCTGTATGCGCTCCTCCAGCACTTGGGCTAGCTTTCTCAAGACCTGGTCATGGCGCCATCTATAGCGGCCCTGTGAGAGGGCCACTTTGCATGTCATAGATGAATAACGATAGTTCAGTGGGTGAAATGGACGTACAGAGAAGTTCAGACCCCATCAACACCTCCTTTCTCTGAAAATCTCACAATTCTAAATTTCCACCATAAACCGGGCAAATTCAAATGAAGCCCAGAATTGACGTCAATTCGGAGATGTTGCCTTATTTGGTTTCTGGCCTTTACTTTTGTCACACCCCGAATTTGACATACAGACCAGCCTGCTGGTTCACTGGCTTAAGAGAGGGGGGGTATAAAGTGTCGACCGCTGGGCAGCTGACTGGACCAGACCTCAGCAGGGAGCTAAATCTAAACATCTAAATATTAATGAGCCTACCATAAAAGGAAGAAAACCTGTCATTTCATTCTGAGGCTTTTAACAAGGCTGCATTAGGGCTTATAGAACAACAAATACACCATTTTCAGCCCAACCAATGTTACACAACCTATTCAGAGACCTTCAGGAACAAATACCCTATAGAATCATTCTATCTTTAAAAGTAAAGTTTGATTTCTGCTGCTGAAGACTCTATGGAGAGTTTAGAAGACGCCAGTTCTGGTTATGTAGTCTGAAGTTCTGTATTAATGCAGTTTGTCAATTGGCAAAGAAACTGTTTCCTTTTCTGTGAAGAACCTGGACATTTTACTTACCTGGCATTTTATATAAGAAATCATTTTTCATTCTCATTAGCTGTAGCCATAATCCTCAAGATGAACAGAAATAAAGGCTGGTTATGCATCACTCTGTTATAAATCTATAGAAAACACTCCTTTCACATTTTATATGTTGCTGAAATAAATAATCTGTTCAGTGATGCCTTTATATCAGGAACTGCGTCTTTGCAGAGGTAAACCACTGATTTCCAGTCTGTCTTCCTGGTGCTTTAAATCCTCCATGCAGAACCAGTACAGATGGACATGAATGCTGATATTCTAACATGACATTCCATCAGAAGGTGTCCTGGTTTCTCGGTGCGTTGTTTTTTCTCCCTTTTTCTAATAAGTCATTTTCTCCACACAGGCTCGAGCCAACTCCTTCCTCTGCCAAGACCCAAGCTGCAGATAAACCAGATGGTGAGTTTCTGCTCCCACTGATGCATAAAACGAACTTCAACAGCATCTGGGAGGGGGGAGGGTGGGGTTCCACTAATAGAATATTATTCTTAAGTGTCAATTTGCTTATGAGCTGACCGCCATTTTTAAAACGGGGGCGTTTTCTTCTAAACCCAGGCTCTAAGACTGGAGCTGCTGCAGCGGCCACTTCGGGTCCCTCCTGCAGACCGCCTTGGGTCACCGACCCAAACTTCGCCGATCGCTACCGCCCAGACAAAACCAGCACTGTGGTGACCCAGCACCAGCAGCCGGTTCAGCCCACGCCCGAGCAGAACCGCAGCTCCATCCTGCAGGCAGCGAAGGCCCCCGAAGACAGCGGGAGGACCCCACTGTGTGGCGCCTGCAACAAAATCATCAGGTAGATCTGTAGCTCAACATGCATGCTGTACTAGAAGAATGTCTGTTTGCTCTTTCCAGACTCCTGTTTGAGATGATGAATAATTTAGGATGGTTAGTATGCGCGACGGCAGACTCTGTGTCTGCTGCAAATTAAGGCCGTCAGCATAATTCACACTGTCTGGAGACATCTTTTATCACAGAGGACAAGGATTATCCTGTCATCTCTGCCAGAGACCTTAGCTCTTATTCTGCAAGCAAATAAAGGAGCTGTTCTTTAACATTCACTCACAAAGCCCCTAAGACAGCTAGGAAAACATCTCCTCGGTGTTTGTTTCCAGAGGTCACTGCATGTCCACATAGCATGTCTGTTTTGCAGCAGATTCCAGTTGGCTTTAATGTGCTGTGAATGTTTTCCAGGGGTCGGTACCTGGTGGCACTGGGGCGTTCCTGGCATCCGGAGGAGTTCACCTGCTCCCAGTGTAAGGCGGTTCTGGAGGAGGGGGGCTTCTTTGAAGAAAGAGGCTCGGTCTATTGCACAAAGTGCCACGATAACAGATACGCACCCAACTGTGCCAAGTGCAAGAAGAAGATCACAGGGGTAACGCTGCCTTCTGCATGCAGAATTAGTTGTTGGTCTGTGAAGAGATTTATATCCCCCCCCGAACGATTAGATCCACATTTTTCTGCTTGTAGGAAATCATGCACGCCTTGAAGATGACCTACCATGTTCAGTGTTTCAAGTGTGCAGCCTGTAAGCAGCCCATCAGGAACCAGGCCTTCTACATGGAGGAGGGCGAGCCTTACTGTGAGAGAGGTGAGACCGGCTGCGGTTCAAGGTCAAAATTAAGGGGTGTACTGTGATTCTATCACGATGTGGTTGAAGTTAAAATAATAAAAGCTTTTATTTTAAAATCCTTGTTAAAAACAAACTATAAAGGTAAGAACTTAAATTGGTTACAGTTTTATTATTATCAAAAGTGGATTTAGTGTTATGTGGAGGGGACATAAGAGAGGCCAACACTAACCCGGTTGTCCCCGCCTAGAACCACCACACAGAACACAACATTTTTATTTTTGCTGCCCTTTTTTTTTGCAAAGTAGTGTGATTGCATCTAGGATGTACGTCAGCAACACATTTCAAGTTGTATAACGTATTTTCTGTTGGATTTAGTCTGGATTTTTCTGGTATGTTTTGAATCAAGGTGAAAATTAGCCCATTTGTAATATTATTTATTTAGTTCAAGTTAAACTGGATTGGTCTTCTTTTAAAACATCCCCGCAGCATGATCCTGCCACCATCATGTTACAGAGGTCTTGCCTCTATCTACTACTCCCTTCAGAGGACAGCACAAACAAGCTACTGTGGGTACTATTTAATGAAGATGCCAGTTGGGGACCTGTGAGGCGTCTGTTTCTCAAACTAGAGACTCTAATGTACTTATCTTCTTGCTCAGTTGTGCAACGCGGCCTCCCACTTCTTTTTCTACTCTGGTTTCTACTCTGGTTTGTGCTGTCCCCTGAAGGAAGTAGTACACACCGTTGTAGGAAATCTTCAATTTCTTAGCAATTTCTCGCATGGAAAAGCCTTCATTTCTAAGAACAAGAATAGACCGTCGAGTTTCAGATGAAAATTCTCTTTTCTGGCCATTTTGAGTGTTTAATTGACCCCACAAATGTGATGCTCCAGAAACTCAATCTGCTCCAAAGAAGGTCAGTTTTGTAGCTTCTGTAACGAGCTAAACTGTTTTCAGATGTGTGAACATGATTGCACAAGGGTTTTCTAATCATCAATTAGCCTTCTGAGCCAATGAGCAAACACATTGTACCATTAGAACACTGGAGTGATAGTTGCTGGAAATGGGCCTCTATACACCTATGTAGATATTGCACCAAAAAACAGACATTTGCAGCTAGAATAGTCATTTACCACATAGTAGTGATGGTGAGATGAAGCCTCATGAGGCATTGAACCGTTTGGCCAAATTGCTTCAACGATCCTCACAGTTCATGAGGCTTCATGTGAACATGTCACCACCTACTGGTGGACAGCAGAACTACAGTTTGTAATAAAATCTGATTTCCCTTTTAGGTTCCTTTGAAATTGTTAATGGTTGGTGTGTATAATAAAATCTTTTGTAATGTTTTTAAGTGTAAAATTTCTTAGGACAATCTTTTAAGGTGCACAGTCTTTCTGCCATTTTAGTGAAATAAACTCAAGCAGACAGTGAAAGTGTTTGCGCAAATTGGGCAATGATGAGCGAAATGAAAGGTGTTAGTCATTTTTATTCAAATATGATCGTTTTTCCACGTTTTTTGGTTTTAATCAGGTTGGAAGTTGTATACAACCAATCCTTTGGCTAAACCGACCTAATTTACCCAATCTGTATTTTTACTCAGGCAAAACAATGCACATAAGTCTCATCAGCCAAAATAATTACGTTTAAACTTTCAAAAGTCAAAGACAGGTTTTGAACCGTCAACCTCTAGAGTGAGAGCCTGTCTCTTTCAGATGACGCCACCTATACTAGTTAATAGTGACGTATTAACACGGACTTTTTCTGGTGGTTTCCTCAGATTTTGATCATTACATTGTTTATTCTAACCAAATTAGTTTTAACCAAATAGATTGGTTGGAGGAACAACCAATCTATTCTTAGAATCTATCCAAACTCTATCCAGCTGACAGCAGCTCTCCTCCAAACTCCCACATCTTGACTGAACACTGAGGCTGTTTAGATGCCTGTCAAAATTCTTGCGCTCCCCGAACCACTTCGCGAAGCTGTGACGTGGTTTCACGGTAGCGAGGCCTCGGACGTCATCAATTTTGACCCCTCCCCTAAATGAATCACGCCTCGACACGCGCTTCGGGGAAAACCCCCCCTCCATTACTCGACACACGCCTCGAAGCCTCATCTCAAACCATCACTACACATTAGCAATGTATAGTGTGTATTTCTTTAAAGTTAAGACTAGTTTAAAGTTATCTTCATTGAAGTACAGTGCTTTTCCTTAAAAAATAAGGACATTTCAATGTGACTCCAAACTTATGAACGTACACAAGCTAAAAAGTTCTTTAGTTCTTCTTTTTCTGGTCATGGAACGTTCTAAATGTTTACCGTCTCTCCTTCATGGCTTGTTGCAAACTGCAGACGGGACTCATTACAGCCTTTCCCTCAACATTGTCTTTCTTCCTTCCTGCCATTCATCCATTAAGGTCATTCATTGTGGAGAGCAGGACTAATAGTTGTGTGGACAGATTCTCACACCTGAGCAGCGGATCCTCCAGGGTTACCATGGATGTCTTGCTTTTTCTCAGATTAATGACAACAGGGAGTTGAATCCAAACGCATGCTGCACCTCTAAGATTTCCACTTCTAGACATTTGATTAGATTGTTCTTTTTTTATTTGTTACTTTAGGACATTTGTGCAATATTAATCAATCTTTATTTACAAATGTATGGCTTACTAAATATTTAGAAAAGAAATACGATTCTTTTTTTGCCCTGCTGTTGACTGGTCACTAGTTTTTGTGTATTTCCAGAGTCCATCTAACACAGACACTAGCATCTTCGCACCTTTCATGCCTCATTAAGGTGACGCCTCTGGTGCACGGCCTCTCTTAACGTCCAACATAAACATCCTCCTCTAAAAGAGGCTGAGAACGTGTTCATTTGTGTCCACCTTTGGGAATAATGCTAAATCCCTCCATCACAGATAATGAATGTGAAATCCTTTGAGGGGTGGAGCGACCTGAAATGCTTGGTTAATGGTATGTTTAAAGATATTTGTACTAAAGTGTTTTGGATTCAGCCGGTCTCTATTTATCAGCTGCATTTCCCTGCTTTATAAAAAGCTATCCTTTATGCCGTACATTGGTTCGGATGTTGGATGGCTCTCCAGCTTTAGCTGGTTTTATGTGTGGGTATGTAAATCAGCGCAGCCTGGCTGCAGCTGCTCTGCTCCATCACCACCCAAAGGCTCCAAGTAAAGTTTACAGGTGCTGGTCATAAAATTAGAATATCATGAAAAAGTAGATTGATTTCAGTAATTCCATTTAAAAAGTGAAACTTGTATATTATATTCATACATTACATACAAACTCATATATTTCAGATGTTTATTTTGTTTAATTTTGATGATTACAAATGACAACAAATGAAAATCTCAAATTCATCATATCAGAAAATTAGAATATTGTGAAAAGGTTCAAAATTGATGGCCCCTGGTGTCACACTCTAATCAGCTAATTAACTCAAACCACCTGCAAAAGCCTTTAAATGGTCTTTCAGTCTAGTTCTATAGGCTACACAATCATGGGGAAGACTGCTGACTTGACAGTTGTCCAAAAGACGACCATCGACACCTTGCACAAGGAGGGCAAGACACAAAAGGTCATCGCTAAAGAGGCTGGCTGTTCACAGAGCTCAGTGTCCAAGCACATTAATAGAGAGGCGAAGGGAAGGAAAAGATGTGGTCGAAAAAAGTGTACAAGCAAGAGAGATAACCGCACCCTGGAGAGGATTGTGAAACAAAACCCCTTCAAAAATGTGGGGGAGATTCACAAAGAGTGGACTGCAGCTGGAGTGAGTGCTTCAAGAACCACCACACACAGACGTATGAAAGACATGGGTTTCTGCTGTCGCATTCCTTGTGTCAAGCCACTCTTGAACCACAGACAGCGTCAGAAGCGTCTTGCCTGGGCTAAAGAGAAACAGGACTGGACTGCTGGTGAGTGGTCCAAAGTCATGTTCTCTGATGAAAGTAAATTTTGCATTTCCTTTGGAAATCAAGGTCCCAGAGTCTGGAGGAAAAGAAGAGAGGCACTTCATCCACGTTGCTTGAAGTCCAGTGTAAAGTTTCCACAGTCAGTGATGGTTTGGGGTGCCATGTCATCTGCTGGTGTTGGTCCATTGTGTTTTCTGAGGTCCAGGGTCAACGCAGCCACATACCAGGAAGTTTTAGAGCACTTCATGCTTCCTGCAGCTGACAAACTTTTTGGAGATGCAGATTTCATTTTCCAACAGGACTTGGCACCTGCACACAGTGCCAAAGCTACCAGTACCTGGTTGAAGGACCATGGTATCCCTGTTCTTAATTGGCCAGCAAACTCTCCTGACCTTAACCCCATAGAAAATCTATGGGGTATTGTGAAGAAGAAGATGCAATACACCAGACCCAACAATTCAGAAGAGCTAAAAGCCACTATTAGAGCAACCTGGGCTATCATAACACCTGAGCAGTGCCACAGACTGATCGACTCCATGCCACGCCGCATTGCTGCAGTAATACAGGCCAAAGGAGGCCCAACTAAATACTGAGTGCTGTACATGCTCATACTTTTCATGTTCATACTTTTCAGTTGGCCAACATTTCTATAAATCCTTTGTTTTTATTGGTCTTCAGTAATATTCTAATTTTCTGATATGATGAATTTGAGATTTTCATTTGTTGTCATTTGTAATCATCAAAATTAAACAAAATAAACATCTGAAATATATGAGTTTGTATGTAATGTATGAAAATAATATACAAGTTTCACTTTTTAAATGGAATTACTGAAATCAATCTACTTTTTCATGATATTCTAATTTTATGACCAGCACCTGTACTTTCCGGTTTTGGCTCCATGCGTATAAAACACGGAGTCAGCGGCTCTGATCTGGTGTCCAGTGGCTTAGAAGGCTAAGAGGCTAAGAAATCCCTTTTTGTTTTTTATCTAAGGGAATCACTGCCATACAATTCTAAAGGTTCATTAAGGACTGTGGCAACAGGAAACATTTAAATCATCTGCTGCCAACAAGTCCTAATAATTTAATAACCTTTCCACTTTTGGCTGTTAGAAGATGAATAAATACTTACAAATAAAAAATCAACTTTTTAAGCCCCTTGTAATGTGAAAGCTTTGGTTAAGAACAAACCGCATCATTGAGACGTATCCAGGGTCAGGAAGAGAGTCCACACAGTGTAACAGGGTGGTGGCAGCATTATGCTGCGGGGATATTTTCATTTAATTTAACAGTAGCAAGAAGGCTGTGCAGATACAGGACTAACCTGGAAGTAAACCTGCAATCAGAGCGATTGTGATTTATCGATTATTAAAATAATCAGCTACTAATTTGTTTACTTAGACTCTAAAACAGGCCATTAACTGAGGGAAATACCAACTACAGCAGTAATCTGGACAAAATGGTGCAAAAAAAAAATCTTAATTTTATATGTAGGTTAAAAATTCTTCCTCATATGTACACGTGCATGTTTTTTTTTTACATTTTACTATTTAAAATGTATTTAAAATGCAAAAAAAGGATATTTTTTTCTAAATTACAAACATTTGTTTATTTAGAAATGTTAATTTACTGAAATTGTCTCTTTGTAGAATATTTGATCAATAAAATAATAAAGGGGCAGGTTAATTGTGTACGAAATATATTCAATATGAGCCGATCAGGGTGGTTCACTTTCCAGGAGGAACAGTCAGAACTGCTAAAGGATAATTTCAGATAGATAGATGTACATCTATGTGTTAAAATGGCATAGTCAAAGTCCAGACCTGGATTCAAGTGACAATTAAGGGCAGGATTTAAATGCACAAGCTTCAGATGTTTGGCAAAGTCTGTGGAAATCTGTACGTTCTTGACAAATGTGGAATAGTCCGAGGGGTGTGAATACTTTTTCTGAAGAGGTTTGTGTGGTTTTTTTTTTTGGTTGATCACTCTGAGGAAAGAGAGGCTGACATCCAAAACAAGTCGTTACAAAATGCTTAAATTCAAATCATAAAGTCAAACTGCATTTAAAAGAAAAAAAAATAAAGCTTTGGCAAAAATGGGTGAAAAAAATAAAAATAAAGTGCTGAAAATCTGCTTGAAAAGATCGATTAGTTCCACTGCCAACTGGGGAACGTCTCTAACCATGTAAGGCTGTGTAACTTCACGCCTGGATCCAGGCCTACATGTTTATTATGAATGCTTACTGGTGAGACGACCACGGGTGAAGCGAGGAGGGCTGACGGGCCATCACAGGGCGTCGGCTCTGTGATGGATGTTTGATCTTCTCCCTTCGGATGGAGGAAGCGGCAGAGGGCCTCAGAACAAAAGCAATGCAGCCGCTGGTTGGAACAGAGGGGCTTTCTCTCTGTTGTTTTCTCTAAGATGGGTGCATTGTAACAGAAACTCACCGCAGCGCATCTCAAAAACCTCTTTTTTTTCCTCCCTTATTCTACCAGTCCATTTGTCAGAGTTTTGTGAAACCCTGGTGCCGCATCCCTCCAGGCTTTTGTGTCTTGAATGAGGCGACGCATACAGTATATCAAAGTGTGATGTGTTCATCCGCTCTAATCTATTTAACTCCAGTTTACCATATATTTCTCTGTTGGCTTTTATGAATGGTGTGTACTCTTCCATTATGCCATAAATGATTTAGCGGGGGGAGCCGTGCTTTTTGCTCACCGCCGACGCTCCGAAGTTGCGCAGCTGCTTTATCAGAGCAGAAGCCAGAAAGCCAAGTGCTCATATTCTGAATAGGCCTTTAGCTCTGATAAACATTCTGCTGCCTCAGCATCTTGCAGGGATTGAGCAGCTCTCAGCCACAAGCTGCATTATAACCTGACACAGTCCTTGTGATGAAAGAGCCGGGAAAAGACCGGTCGAGTATCCCCCCCCCTCCTAATCCTTCCTTAAACAGTGGAAAGTACAGACTGCGGCACAAACAGCCACGTCATCAGGCGGCCAGTGAGCATCAGCTCGTCGTTTCTTCCTCTTAAGTGGCTGTTTGATGGGAGGATTCATCGTAAATAGCAGAAACCTTTAATTTTATTAAACATAAAAGACTTTTACAATGTATGTTTGGGAGCATCCTTTAAGGTGAAGTGATGCGGTGAAAGAGGAGGTCAGGGAGATTTCCTGATCCTGAACTCGGAGATGAGATCATTTCTTTTGAATCTGGGCGTGCTTTTCATATTTCCTCTCTGTCGTGTTTTTCTTTTCTTCTCTCTCCAGACTATGAAAAGATGTTTGGCACTAAATGCCACGGCTGTGACTTCAAGATTGATGCCGGCGACCGCTTTCTGGAGGCCTTGGGCTACAGCTGGCACGACACGTGCTTCGTCTGTGCTGTAAGTCATTTTGATTGATTCGGTTTCTTTCTCTTCGGCCCCGGCTCCCGTCTGTCCCGGTACAATAGCACCTGAATCTGCTTTCTGTCCACATCTGCTAGTTTCTGAGAGAAACACTGAAAGTGAATCCAAGTCAAGTAAATATTATCTACGTGCCCTGGTCTGTTGAAAACTGTGCAAATTGACATTGGCAGTGGTGATGTCTGCCTCTTCTGCTGCGGTTTCTCAATCTGTCTCTCTGTCTGTCTTCTTTCATCTTTTAAGCTCTGCCAAATCAACCTGGAGGGGAAGACGTTCTACTCGAAAAAGGATAAGCCCCTGTGCAAAGGCCACGCTTTCGCTCCAGTGTAGAAGAGAGAAGGCTGCATCTTCAGAGGAAGCAACGCATCTCCCTCCACCTCCTCCTCATCCTGCTCCGCCCTCTGACAAACTCTACATCCCGTCTTTGCCAGCCACACACATGCAGTTCAACGCTGGCTTCTTCTTTTTCTATCCTGTGGAATTAGTTTTTATACCCTCAGCTTAATGCTAGCTTTACATGCTCACTTCACTCTTTCACTGCCTGCAAAGATGCTTCAAAACTGGAAGAAAGCAAGGAGTTATGTCATTTTTTTGTTTTTTTTTTTTTACTAAAAGATAAAATTTCTTGTATTTAAACCAACGTATCTGCAGTTGATCTACGCCGTCAACCTGAATGAGGTGACCGTAGAGAAGTGCTGGCCTCATGAAGGACCCAGACCTTCTCATCAGCTCTTACTGCAGTGCCCTTTAATCTAATAGAAACCAGTGAAGCAGTAAAGGGAAGAAGTTTCATTTCTGCTTGGTTGGACCCCACAGAAAAACCAGCTCTGCAGATTCCACTCAAAACCCACTACAGCAGGCTAGATCAGAACGTTTGACTGGTGGTAAAACCCTTAATTGGTCACATTTTAAAGGTCGTAGGTATGTTTAATGGAGAGATCACCTTTTGCATATCTCTAAACCAAAATCGTATTATGTTGTGATTTTCTGTTATCATGACACCTCATTGCTGTACTTTCATGCCGTGTATTTATGCTGCTTTAGAACTGGGCTGTCTGAGTGTTTTTTTTTTAAGCTTCAATTTTCAAATAAAAATATTTAGCTAAGTGAAAGAAAAGGCTTAAGTGTTTTTTATTTAAACCCTGGGCTGTTGGTTCTTTTTAAATTTTTAAATTAGTTTGGAGATATATGCTATTTCAAGCAATTAATCTAAAGTTGATCGATTTTATAATTGACTAACAATCATTGAAAGTGACATCAGTTTTGTCTTATTTTTATAAAGCATGAAGGGGGTAGATATAGATTTCAATATGCTAAATTAAAAAATAACACATTTTAAAAATTGTGCCAGCTGTATTAAGTAGTGACTAAATAAACAAAAAACTGTTTTCTTGAACATTATTTGTTAAGTTAAACATATTCAAAAGTTAGAACAGCAATCTATGTTACTGAAATAAATGTGAAACACTTATAATTTCCAGTGAGCAGAGGTAAAAAAAAAAACTATTATTAAAAGTCCAGGTATGTCGCTCTGATGCTGTCAGACTATTCACCACTTGATTTCAGTGACTGTTGATTGTGATATAACTGTTTGTGGTATATCAAGCATTCCAAATAAGTAAAAAAAAAAAAAAAAAAAATCCACTGGACTTTGTTTTTTTTAAAGTTTGAAGATGTTTCGCTTCCCATCCAGGAAGCTTTTTCAATTAAAAATGTCAGAATTAGTGTTGAGTTCCAACCATCAATAGAGTAGCTTTGTTATGTCTTAGAAAACATGCAAATTGAACCAGAAGAATGGGTAAGCCCCTTAGTAATGGGGAGTCCTTGATACTCTATACTGGCCTATGCATCTGAAAGCGGGGGGTCATTAGGCATTCAGTGCTGGGTGATACTGTGTGTCACTTTAAACAGGTAGTTAAATGGGGATATTTAATTTATCAATTGTTTATATTTCCAAACAGAAATATATAAAGTGTATTCCGCGTTTTCACCATTAAACAGTTTAAATTATCCAGACTCTACTTCTCTTGCAATGGCTAGTAACCCTCCACCTAGAATGAACAGCGGCGCCACTCTAGTGGACGGGGGTAACATTACAACACTTAAAGAAATAACATCAATTAATCGAATGGACCTAATTTTTAACTAATAAACCATTAATCTAAAACTGATCGTAAAATAGTTGTTTGTTTTCACACCATATCTATGTATTTAATGCCTCCCATTTTTTAAGTTTATTTCTCTGTTTGAATGAATGATGGGGATCATCATAAACATACATAATGTTCTGGGGGTTTTGCGTCATCTTGCAGTCGATTAAGATTCTGCTATCTCTTCATGTCTAACGACTGAGATTAATATGAAAATTTAAATGTGAGAAACCTGCTGCTGGTAATACTGTTCAAATTAAAAATGTGTGGTTTAAAGAAGTCTGTGTGGATTATATCAGATTTTACAAAGATCCATGTCAAAGTTGGTACCAGACATCTATAAGATTTTCTATCAAATGCTCTTTGCAACGTGGATCCTTCATGTCACTGACTTATTTATAAAAATGACAAAAAATACTAGAAATGTTGATTGAAAAGTTGCATTACAGTGTTCAGGGATTGGTGAGGTCTTTACTCTTAACATCAGTGGTCCACTGTTCCAGAATATAAGTGATGGGTTTAGTTATTTTTTATTTATTTTTTATGGGATAAAATGAATTAGAAATCTGTTTTTTTCTAATTGTTGAGTTTGACCTGCTCTTATTTTGTACCAGACATACATTAGTGAAGACGAAAACAGCAGCTGGACACTGATGGTTGTTTGGTTTTCTGCAGCTCACAGCTTCATCATCAGATGTTACTATATCCAGTTCCTTCTTTCCTTACTGGGAAAAGATTAGCTTTGATGCTTTGAGATCTTGGACAAAAGACAAGTAATGAAAAACATATTTTCAGAATATTTCCATGAGTAGCAAAAAAACAAAAACAGTTTAATGCAACTGCTGCTGTCTTTGCTAACATCTAACTAGGTGAATCCCAAAATTTGGGATGCGCCACCTATGGGGAGGCCCAATGTAATTACAGGAACGACATGATAAAAAATTAAATTTCCAATTTGAGGAGGTATTAAATAAAAGCATTTAAAAGCATCTTTTATCTGTTTATTTGAATAAAGCTTCCATTTTAAACCTAACCCTTTTCTATGTTCAACTGTTGGGTGTGGTGGAGTAAAACTGTATTGAGAACCAGAGTGGACATACGTTTGGGAATCTTAAATAATGAGTCTTTAAGTTAGTTTAGTTCTTGATTTTGGAGAAGGGACCCCTCTTACTTCTTCAGTTTTAATTTAGGCTAAATATTATGCTGGTGTTGAAACAAACATGAAAATTAAGCAGAATATTGGTAAAATAAGTTTAAGGATAGTTTTTTAAAGAGATCACCCTTTTTCTCATTAGTTACATTTTTCACGCAAAGAATCCAGCCCTTGATGTAACAATATATAATTTATTTACAACAATTTCCGATTGAATTACTATACATAGGATTCTGAAATGTCATAGATAGATATATATACATAAGGCCAAGTAAATACTTGAAAGCACTTAGAAACGAATTTCCAAAATTCTACCCACAAATCCATAACATTGTCCAAAATGTAGAGAAAAATCTCCCTTAGCAGAAGTTTTTTCCACTGCCACAAAAGGTTTGACAACAGTTTACACTGACGATAAGGAACACAAAAGTTTTTTTCTTTTCTTTTTTTCTTAAAAAACAAAACAAAACAAAAATCCAAACAAAGAAAACAATAGAAGGATTATACAATTGCATAAGCGCTGTGGCATGTAATAAATACAGCATTTTTGACTTGCAGAAAGGCAAGGAACATTGAACCAAGGAACTAAATAGAAAACCTTTCACAAATACAGAAGTCTATTGTTCTTAGTTCAAAAAGAAAACAGTTCAGTCAGTGACAGGGAGGTCTGCACACGCACGCACACACACACGCACGCACAACACACACATACTTAAATATGCGCACGTCCTCCACACCAAATAGTAATGAGTGACAAAGAGTACGGTGCTAAGATGCAACACAGAGGTGAACAAACAGCATGAACCGTCGAACAAAGTAGCTGTGTTACAGACAGGAGTCTTACTCAAAGCTATCAGTTGGAGATTTCAGCAGAAAGAAACTGGTGCTCATCACACTACAGCTGCAGATGTGCTGCAGAGACAGACGCTGAACATCCTGTCGGCTGGCGAACTACATTACTGCTCAACGCATCCAGGACGACGAGGAGGGTGTTCAAATTTTCCCGCGCTACAGTCTGAGTTCACCCCCCCCAGAACACAAGTCCTCCTGCGATTAACCTCGCCGACTGCTTCCTTCCACCTTTGCGTTTATAAATGCTTCCGAGTTGCGAAACTAAAACGATCCAGAATGAGAACAAACAGAGAAACTTCCTGTGAAAATGGCCTCTAAACCCTTAACACTGCAAATCACTGCTAGATCGCCAAAGAACAGGATATAGGCAAACACGTCACGGTTTAGACTTGACAAATGCTGCGCCAGTTAAGTGTTGCTTTTTTTTTTCTTTTTTTTTTGGCTTCATTTTAAAATATAATTTACATTTGTTTACAAAGTGATCAAATAATGCATCAACTTGCACGAACAAAATGACTAAATGAGGGGGGAAAAAAACACACTAAACGAATGATTCTGAAACTGGTTTGATGGATACAAAATGAGGATGCTGTGGACTCAAATGATATTTCTAAAACTTTGGTTACCAATCTGCTGATATACAGTATGCAAAGTGACAGCACGTGGCTGGTATAGAAAAACTATTTACAAATTACAATGTGGCGATGACTGGGGGTTATCATCTCTTTTCTTTGTGGGAATAATCCAAGTGTTTTTAAAAAGCTTACATTGGATTCTTATGGCATCTTTATATAAAAAGGGGTTTAAAGTGTTCAGAAACAGGAAGGAAAGATCGAAGTTTCCATCAAAAACAACTTTGGATGAAAAAAACTGATGCTTTTCCCCACTGAAAGAAACTTAAAGGTACATTCCAAATATCTGACAATCATAAATAAATGAGTTGAAGTTGAAAAGTGAAACATTGATGGTAGGATGGAGAGAGGGCCTTTCTCTCTACCTCTGAACACACAGCTTCACATGCAACCCTGAGGCAGACAAAACTATGGCTAGTTTGGGATTACTCTAAACGTTTGGCGAGGTGCCCTGCTGAACCTGTGGGGTTTTCATCAGACTGTTTATGTTGCCTGATTCGACACATCCATTACTAAGAAATCATGGTGGAAATGAAGGTAAAGTAAGAAGAGCAAACACCCACTTCCCAGCTTCGCTTAGAAAAAAAAAAAAAAAAAAAAACGGGTCTTTTTCAACTTTATCTGAGAGACGGCTCCTCTCTGATGTGGAAATACCGTTTGCCGCACGGCAAATATTGAATTCCCAACTAAATTGCTTTATAAATAACATAAACAAAGCTGCACAATTACCCTTTCGACGTGACTAATCTTGTGACGATTTTGAGGAATTTGTTTTTGAATTTTCTGTGGCAAAGTGCGCTACATTATTCATGTAGTTTAATAACCCTTTTTGGACACGTTCACACGCCGGAGAATGAATGTAATTAAAGGGGAGGAAATGTCACTTTTGAGAACATTTTCTGCTCACATAAAATGCAGCTGGAATGCCTTTTTGGCGCTATGGCTCCTTCATTAGCTGTGAAATATGAAAACGCACAAAAAAACAAAACTAAATATGAACGCAGAGTAATAAACTGCACAACATGAAACAAAATCAAAGGATTTAAACCAAAATGTGGATGTCAGATTAAAGACACTAAAACTGACTCGTCTTCTGAAGAAGAAGAAAGGTTCCAAACACCAAACACATGTACTTATTTTAAAGCAGAAAAAGCTGTGAAGCGTCCCTCAGAATCAAGATGTCAAGATGTTACATTCACAGTACTGATACCGGCTTGACTAAAAAGAAAAAAAAGCACACAGACCATTATGAGACTGGATTTTTTTGGGGCATACAATCTGCTTTTCAACCTGCAACGTGCAGGTGGTGCTACACGCCATCGTGATCTTTTACACGTAGGACAATGTGTCTGAGATAATGTCATGCTCACCTGCCAATTTGCATATTTCACCTGAACTGACTGAAAACCCTTTGTTATTCTGGTTGTATCGTAGGTTTTTGAAACCAAGTAAAAAAAAAGAGAAATTTGCAACATCAGCTGTAAGTAGGAACGTTTGCATTTGCATACTGCTCCTTCTTAGCCTGCTGAACAAAAAGCGTGACTGATATTATGTCTAAAAGATCTTAAGACTCTGATGAGGAGTCCTTCTTCCTAATGAAATCTGTCGTTTAAAGGCTTTTACAGTTTTGGGAGTGAATAAAAGGACTTGATCCTACTTAAACCTTTCACTATCTTCTAAAAATAAAGAAGAGACCCATTGGGAGAGCGCTGCTCTTTGTTATGTTATGTCTGCATGTTTGTTGTATTCTGCACCAGTCTCTTTCTCTCGCTCTTTCTCTCTCCATTTCTGGGTTAGCACTCTCCATCAGAGACCAGGAATATCATGGCCTCCTGTTTGCCGATGTCAGCCATGACCGTGGCCAGCTGGTTGATGTTGCCGCTGTGGAAGTGCTGCGCCTCCCACAGGTCCAGGATCACAGAGGTCGGGCTCGCTTTGGATGCAAAGAAACTCATGTGTCTGCGGAGAAAAGGAGATGAGGGTGAGAGGATAATGAGAGATCAGAAGAAAAAAAAAACAGCTTTGCATTTTCTCTCCTGCTGAAGAGTCTTTTCAGCTGATATTTTCTTGTGCCGCTGCTGCTTTTGTAGCTCCGTCAGTGTCAGCTTTTGTTCTGTATTACGGCACAACAACCCAACCACTTCTACCTACTGAAGCTGCAATGAAATCCAAAGTAGCAGATGTGGAAAAATTGGTTTGCCTTAAAATCACTTAATCTTTTACTCCTGCAGCATATTCTCAAATTCAGACGATTTTGAAAAAAAAACAACTAACAATCGGGAAAGAAAAGAAGCTGTTTTACCCAAATGGCACCGCTAACCCTCCATTGTTAGCACATCTAACTAAAGTAGTTTCTGTCCTGCTTTTAGTTTACTAATTAGAAGATTCAAGCAGCTTTTAATAAGCAAACAAATAACATTTGATCTATAAAGTACATTTTATAGATAATAATTACTCGGTGCTTCACAAACACAGAAAGCGATAATTAACAATTAAAGAAAACAAATGTTGATTTTCTGTCCCACAACACAAATATTAATATGTATAGTTTGTTAACATTTATGGAATTTTAAACTTTTCAATCAGACCTGATCGTTACGTAATTGAAACCTTTACCAGGTAGCGAGAGATTTTTTTGGCACCAATGTTATCATCCCTGCATTTACACTGTCTCAAAAAGTAGAAATGTAATTGTAAATTTTCAAAATTGTCTGTTCGCAACCGTCTGTTGCAAAAGGTTGAGTTATTAATTCATTAAAAGGAATTAGTTTTATGAGTCTTTGGGTGAAAGTAAGCCACACGGGAGAAACCTTGGTGGACATTTGTCATGCCTTTAAACTTGGTGATTGGTGGAGGAAAATGCAGTTTCACTGCATCACCACGACTCTCCAAAATACTCGTAGAACATATCAGAGAAAATTGTCAGCCATCCTGGTCATGTCCAAGTTTATAAAAGTTTAACTTCACATCCAGTTGCCTAAACTGAACTTTTTCAAGTAAGTCCCAGAACCTAATCCCAGGTACATGTGATGCTGCCCTCACCAGTGTTTGGTACAGGCTCGGACTGGTAATCTGTGATACTGGGTATTTGCCCGGTGGGCCGGTCCTAATTTCAGCGTTCGAGGGCCGACCCTCCTTAAAGGGGAATTTCAGTTTTTTTTTTTACATTGGTGTGAAAAAAACGAAATTCCCCTTTAATTAATACCAGCCCCAACATTTACTCTCGGGCCGAAGCTCCTACTTGGGACAGTAATAACTCAAGGAGCTCAAGAAGTAGAGCCTCTTCCTGCTCACGTTTTAACGAAAACCCCAAGTCTAATCCTTCCAAAACTGATTTCAAAGCTGAGTCAAACGAAAACTGTTCAAATGTTGTTGCCATCTTCCTTATTCTGCTTTCTCCAGCGTCGCGCAGCTTTGTCGTCCCGCCCTCAAAACCTGCCCGCTTTGCATCATAAACTTCAAAACACATCTCTGCGTTGTGATTGGTCCGCCAATTGTAGGGACTGAGGAATTGATCGAGGCTAGACCACTCGCAGGGGAAAATTATTTTGGCCGCTGGAGGGTGGGGCTAGTTTTCCCTCCAAAGCTCAGATGGAGGATCATATATGTTTTTTTTTTAAAGTCAGCTAATTAGTTTGCAGGTTTCTTATTTCATACACCATATACAATTTTAGTTTTGCCTTCCCTGAGCCCATGACCACCAGAGGTACATTTACTTACACTTGAGCCGCTATCAACAAAATATACTTCTGCAGTAGTTTGGTTGTGCTTTACTTTTTACTTTAGCAATGATTTTCCAGTCAGCAAGGAATAATCAATGGATCATTATCTATACTTAAAACTGATACATTCAAAGTGATTTAATAAATTTAGCGTTAATAAGTAGAAAAAGAAAAAGAAAATTTTTCGTCATGATCACTGAGTCTGGGAGCGGCCATTTTTGCTCAAATATAGTAACCCCTCCCTCCTGCCATCTTCCGGCAATGACGTCACGGAGCGGTAAGCCTAGCGCCATTCTCCCCGTTTTACAAGCAAAATCAATGGGAACTACTAGACACCTCTGCAATTTGCAACAATTATTGAAGATTTCCAGAGGATTTCACCATTGAAATTCACCAGAGCTATAGTGAAACTGACAATGCCCACGTGCATGGCAGCTGGATGCTGGAATACATCAGGGAAAAGGAAAAAAAACATTAGTTAATTCACCTTTCCGATTCCCGATTCTCCAAGGATTGCCAACTTAAAGAGGGAGGATTTGCCATTGAACTTCTGGCCAGAGGAAAAAACACGTAATATGTAGCCAACATTTTTAAGAAGAATGTTTTCAAGATGACTTGGATAATAGCGCGTTGTGACAAACACCAGATACAGCACTGGGACTTGATCAACAGCCGATACCGCACCGTGACGTCACAAACCAGTAGGTGGCAGTAGTGTTCTTTGACAAACATGGATGCCTCCAGTAAAGCACATTCAAATTAAATCCATCTTAATTAAAAAAGTTATTATTCATTGAACAGTATAATAATTTCGTATTTGTGTACTTTCAGAAGTTTGAATTCTGAATATTCTGGACTTTTCCTTAATAAGTAAACAATTTCTGGCTGTTCAAATCTAGTTGCTCTGTTGAACGAGGAACTAACATGTTTTATTTAAAATTACACATGCACACGTTTCTGGTTTGTAAACAAGCTTCTGTTGAGCGGGTCAAATGTTCGGGTCAGGGATACAGCGGATGTGTGTCCTCTCTGTCACCAAGCAAACATGATTTGTATCATAAGGGCAATAAAAAAAAAAAAAAAAACTCCTGGTTTAACTATGTTAATGGTCCTTTTTTTCAAATAACTGCAAATGAGCTGAATGAACATTATTTGTAAAGCATCTTTGCTGAAAAACATTGGAACAGAGGTGGGAGTTGACATTTATTAAAGATTTAAGAAATAAATCTATAAACTGCATTAAACTGATAACTTTGAGAGATGGTCACCCAGACGGAGAGAGGAGCCACACGTTCGCTGCTCCAGGTTTATGTGTATAAAAACACGGTTTGAACTTAACCGTCTGCAAAGCTGATCTACTTACCAGGTGCACACATGGTTTTAAAATAGTCATTTCATCTTTTTTTCTTCTTAAAGTATGAAATTAAAGGTTGTGTTTCTTTCTAATTTTTAACAGTTTGAGAAAATGATCCTGCAGAAAAAGTGGATTGGTTTTAAGTCTTTTTACGCCACTTTATCCACATCTGTGACTTCAGAGCCTTCATTGCTCTTCATTAGATGCTAAAATTGCCCTCAAACCTCATGCACTAAATCCTATATAGACTTTTGACAGTTAAGTCGGAAGTGACCTTTCCTATCTTAGCTGTAGCACCTTCCTCGATCAAACCCAATCAATGACAACAAAGCGGTGGCCCCGGCCGGCTCTAGTTTTGATGTCGTGTGGGACCTGATCCCTGCAGTAGCTGAAGATGCTTGTTTGATTTAATAGCTTTTTTTTCTTTTTCCCAAATGTCCAGAGTTTGAACGTATGGCATTAGAGGTGCAACACACACTCTGGGGTGTTTTTTTTTTCTTTCTTTTTTGTAAAAGAAGAAACAGACAATAGAAAAGCCAGAGAGTCTGTTATTTCCTTGTGTCTGCTGTCTGCCTACGGGAGAATTGGGTGATGGATATAAACATGACTGCTTTGGCTGTACGCTCAGTGCTGATAACACTGTGTCATTTCGAGCCAGCTGGATTTTATAGCACAAACAGCTCTTCCTCAAAACAACAAAGGCAAGTGCTGGTAAAAAAAAAAAAAAAGACTGGAAATGAGCCTCTGTGCCATTAACCAAATTAAAATAAGAAAAATCCAGAGCCTGGTGTCCAACATGTCTGCACCTCGGTGTGTGAAACCCCGGCTTATCTTGTGCGGCTCAGAAACAGACGTTTGCTCTGTCTTGGGAGAGAAAGATCAAATAAAAGGTTCTTGGCATTTTAAGTTTTATTGATCGGTCCCGTTCCGCTTGGTCTGAACGCTTTACGCAGTCGGAGACAAACACAGAAATACAGCATGACAGAATGCCAAGCAGCTGCTGCCTTTTCAGGAAAACAAGTTGTTAAGGACAGATCAAACAACAAAGAAGTTGTTCCTTCCTTAGACCTAAATGAGAATTGATTATGTTGAGCTGAACATCGCTAATTAAACCTGTAGTGCGTCAATTCCAGCCAGGAATTAACTGGGTAAATAAAGTTGATTGAACAAATTAGGTTCTCCTATTTGATTTCATTACGTGTAGAAATTAAATTTGCAGATAAGGAATCGATGTCTGTTACAGATGCTTGGGTGATAAAGTACAGTAACTGAGAGAACAAATTAGACTAAGGTCGGCACAGATTCAAAACTATTTCATCTCTCCCCCTTTTTTTTCTTCCTCTGGTCGCTGATGGGCAGCTAGCTTGCAGCCTTTCCAATTACAGCTGTTAAGCAGGATGTCGCAGCCAGAAGTTTAGCGCCAGACTTTAAGCTGCTTACCTGTTTCTGAGGGAAAAGGGAAGACAGGGGTCATGTTTTCTTGGAGGAATGATAGCTGTATCCATCAGGTCCGCATTAATCCTATAATGTTAGCCGAGTCGAAAGAGGATTAGTTTGCTAAAGCATTACCTTGTTTACCTGAACTTTGGAGGGAACATGGATGCACTTCACGTTCATTGATGGTGAAGAGTTTTACAAATATTGAGAAAAACATGAAACTATGATTTTTCCCACTTCTGTATTATTTTTTATTGCAGATTTCCCTGCCTCCTGAACTTCCCCTCATTGTGTTCAAAAACCAGATGAAAAAAAGTATATAACTAAGTTTGAACCTTTATTTAAAAAAAGGCGATTTTCTTGCAACTCTTCCACAAAGCTCATTTGTGGTGTTTACAAGTGGTGAAGCTTTCCCGGTCTGCAGATTATTTCATGTAGCTGGACTGATGGTCTGAGAAGAAGTCTGTGCAATGCACAAAGTTTGGTACCTTTCCTCCTTGGTTCCCATGGTGATTTTTATTTACTTACGTCCTCCAATAAACATTGGTGATCATTCATGTATGAATTGGATTGAGTTGATTAACTTATTTCAGTTTATCAGGATTTGAATTTGACATACTAATTAGTTTTGGAAATCATTTTGTCTAATTAGAAAAAAATACTTGAAGAATGAATTTGGCTTTAATTCTGAAGGTCGTTGGTTGCACTGGATTTATTTAGAGGTATTTTTAGAATAAAGAGGCCAGAATTTAAATGCCTCTCCTAGTTTTTAAAACAGTTTTCTCCTTCCACTTTGCTGTCATTAACTTTGTTGGTTTCAAGCAATAAACCTGAATAAAAAGGTTCAAATTTGTGGTTTTAATGTATAAAACAGCAAAAACGGTCAAAAGATATTTCCTAAGAAATACATTTGGATATCTTGAGATAAGTCGTATCGATTAAACTCACTGTTTCTGCTCCCTCCAAAGCTCAGATGGAGGATCAGATCTGTTTTTTTTTTTTTATTTAAATATCAACTAATTAGTTTGCATATTATTGCTATTGTAAATTTAAGCTTCCTGAATTATTTGCATTTTATTAGAACAGCACCTCAGAAAACCATAAAATATTGTCATATGATTTTATATTTGGGGTATTTGTTTCGCTCATTTGTGTTTTTCTTATGAAAAGGCATGTTGAAATTGAAGAGGTGAGATTTTCATGGTTCTAACTTTAATTATTTCTCTTTTTTTTGTCCTCATGGTGAAAATGGTGTTGAGTATTGAATATTTCCCTATGTATTGATATAGGGTATGACACTTTTGCATTGTGCCAATCCTAAAGGTTATTGTAAAGTTTGTAATTACCTCTCAAGTTTAAGTCTTTGTGCTAACATCCTCCAGTCTGCTCCGTTTGGACAGGATGCATCCAGGCTGCTGCAGATCTTCTGTCTGATGAGGTACGGGATCTGAAAGGCGCTGGGCCCGGCCAGAGCTGTGGCGTTACTGTCCATTAACAGAAACTCAGAGTCCAGAGAGCGTGTGTCCTGGTAAGAGAGTAGTAAAGAACGACATGCATAACTCTGCCTTTATTTCTGCCTTTGCTCAGCATTTAAAAAATAAAATACAACCTGAGAGTAATCAGAACTCTCGATTACAATAACTGCGTGCTCCTAGTGTTACCTTGGCGATGTTAAAGTCGAGGGCAAAACTCTGTCCCTCCCCCTCCACCTGCCACACGCACAGCTGGCAGGTGAGCTCGCAGGTGCTGAGGCTGAGCCGCTCCAGAGTGAACGTGCAGTGAAGGTACCGCTGGGAACCGTTCCAGATGTGGTAGAACGGGATCTCCTGCAGAAAAAAACATCATAATGGCACAGTCAGAGCTGCGTGTCTGAAAACACACCACAACAGGACCGCCTGCCTGTCATACGCTGAATTTGATAAGAATGGTACAGATAGTGGAAGGGAATAAATGTGCTTTTACTGACAAATAGGATCTTTAACAGAAGTGAAATATAACTGACTGAGGATTCAAGAAAAAGTCAAATGTGGAGCTTTCCAAGATTAAATGATCAGCCAGTTTTTTTTCTTTATTTTTTTCCATTTTACTGCAGCTGCACAGCTATAAGTGATGCTGAGCACAAAGTCCGCCACAGGGCAAATAACTATACAGATGTATGCGTAACAGAGAGGACTGGTTCTGCTATAAACCAATGTTTTCAATGAATTTATCAAGACCGACAATTTCAACATCTTTATTTCTGTTGCTTCATATTCATGCCTCATTTGCATCACCCAGGAGAAGCAGGGGTGGAAATACTGGAAGGAGAAGGCTTCGAGAAAAAGAAACCTTTCCACCTTCCTGAGCTCCAGTACTAACAAGATCTCAGTTGGAGACCAGAGGGCCTGCAGTGGACGCTGCTGACCAATCGGGGGCACTGTTACCTAGTCAAGAACATCAGATGGCGGTGGGTGAAAATCACTAACGTCTTCAAGCGGCTCTGGGGAAACCAATGGTTTTTCTGACTGTGCTGCTGAGAGGTGGGGGTGGGGGTGGGGTGGGGGGGGGCAACACTTCCAAATGAACAGGCACAGTCTAGAGAAATAAGCCTCTGCTCTGGGTGCATTGTTGCAGCCCCTGCTTGCTTGGCACAGCCTGCCCGCTCTTTGGGGACCCGGTGCTCAGTGCTTACACAGTTACAGCCAGAACATTTTCTAGCCCACTTTGAATAGCCCTTGTGTTGCCGTCACACGGTTGCAAGGTTGCTGGCTGTGCAGGTAAAAGAGAGCAGCGGAGGAGAGAGAGCATCCAAACTATTTACATTCTGCTCCATATTTCATCCCAGCTCCCTTTGAAAGCAGCAGCTAGTTTAATCAATAAGATTGCACCTTTGGGTTAGAGCACACAGCCCTCATATACACACAATGAAAACACAAACAGACTCCGATACGATTAATAAATGCAGTACTTACAGGAATAAACTAAAAATACCCTTTTGTGATTCTTTAAAGCAATAACATATAAGTTGGTCTAAAACATCTTTAATCAAAAGTCTGAAATAAGATTAAATCGCAGTTTCAAAGTGAATAGCGGACCATGAGCCCTCATTAATAACAATAAGCTGCTTCTGAATAACATTAATCATTGAAATTCAAAAACATCAGGAAAGAAAGTTCAATAATTGCTGATTCACTAATTTGACAGATCCAGGCGGGGGCTTGTATCATATTTCCCTTCTTCTGCACTCATCCAGACTGACCCCTGATCCCCGACCCCCCATCACCATCCAACATACCTGGTAGCCAGCGAGCAGCTTGCTCCTCCAGTGCGCCTGGGGCATGTCGTGGATGGACAGGCGCAAGTTGTGGTAGCTGTCTTTGAAAAGCAGGACGTGGGGCTCGTCAATCAGCCGTCCCCCGAGCTGCCTCTCCATCTGCATCACCTCCTGACGGGGAGAGAAAGAGCGAAAGGCATCAGGGAAACAGGTGAAATACATTCGCAGTCATCATCATCATCATGCAAGCACATGAAAAGGTGCAAAACAATCTGGGACTCATAACGGTTTACTCTTTGTGTTTCTCTCTCTCTCTTGGATGCAGAAATGTTTCATTGGGGAGAAGAATTTGTCCGTTTGCACGCTGGCAGAGATGAAAAGGACATTGCAGCAGCTCCACTAAAAATTTGGCCTCATACGGATACACACAAAGCCCTTCTTGTTCGCACATCCACACAAACCCTGACACAAGCGCAGCGGGGGTTTAAGGCAGGGGTGTGGAACATCTAAGAACCAGGATATTGTGTCCCTGTATGCAGCCCCAAAGATTGGACCGACTTGTCACCGCTGAGCTTTTGTGTCACCCCCACGAGGCCTACAACCCCGCCTCAGAGCGTTGCACACCCAGCTCTCAGCTACAGCATTTGCATGCAAATACTGCCGCCGCCCCAGCCGACCGGCTACCTGGGCTGTGATTAAGTAAGTGAACGAGCCATTAGTCAACTGCTCATTGTTCTCGCATGTTGAAACTCCTTAATTTCATTTTTGTTTTTGTGCCAGGAGAGATTTGTAAATGCATGCTTAATATTTTAATCTCAGTGGGACTTGCTCAGTGGACCATTTGTTGCCATCCAAATGACCATCTGGAATGACATGATAATATCCTCAACATTTTCCTCCGATTCTTTTAATTTGCTTTCAGCAGGATGCTTTCTGCTCAATGAATCCACAAAAAATTCCAGTTTTTGATATTCAGCACAGGCCTATCCAACTTGGTTTTAAATACATCAGAAAGTACAAATATTTCATTTATACGCTTTTTTTTTTTTTTTATAATTTCCCCAACTTTAGCAAACTTAATTCAAATTTAATTGACCCACATCCATTTCCAGGCAGTTAAGGAACCTAAAATGCAGACTTCTGATATCGGTGATGTGAGATAGGAGCTTTTTTTTTACTTTGAGGGGAGAACAAGGTGCCAGCAGGCGGGAAAAAACCCCCCAAAACAAACAAAAAACAGTCAGAACGAGCCTCACGGCTTCAGACGGCACATATCTAAAAGAACGCTGCGTCGAACATGAGATGCATGTATAGATAGCAACCATATGTTGAGTGCGACACGCCAGCGTGGTTGCCCGTGGTTATGTTGCAGCAAAGACATCTAATTAAGGAAGAGAATGGCTGTAATTTCTGTGCTCACAACACTGATTCGATTTTCTGCCCCTTTCCCCAGGAATGAGCCAGACTGATTCCAATTATAAAGGGAAGGAATCCGTTAATTATCCAGTTGGAACCTCTACCTGCGTTACTCAATGTCCTTCACTGAATGAGCCGTTCAGCGTTCAGCAGGAAAACAGAGCAGTCATGTTTATCTGCCTGCATTGTTAGTTTCTCCTATGTTGCTGTCGTCTTTTTCTGTAAACACGTACATTAGTCGTCTTGTGATGAGTTATCTTTAATTATATGCTTTATTTTCTAAAGGCGCGATAATTTGGCTGAAGAGGAGCTGGAATGCTCTGCCTCTGTAGACCTTTGTGACGTTGCTCAGGTCATTTCCTCAGAAAGGGAAGGTCAGACAGTGGCTGTGAATCAAAGCATTGAGGTCTAATGAGTTAATAACAGAGGGCAGTGCTTTCTCCACTGACCCACCCCCCCTCTCCATTATGTCTCTTAAACATACAAAAGGGACATTATGCTGGCTCTGAAAGAGGTTCATTTAAACAGCCCTTTAGCACAATTGTTTGTTGGTGGGAGAGATTAGCATTGCAAATGAACTGGTGGACTTTGATCGGGTTTCAACCTATGGACACAGATCTATAGGTCTGTTTGCAGGAGAAAGAATGCAGAATACCAATTATTTCATCATCAACCTCCTGCTACGATGAATAATAAATCGGAGTAGTTTGTCAGGTTACAGGATTTACAATAAAAAAGGGGGACTGGAATTCATCCAGCTGTTAAGACAACTCTCCAATAACAGAGGATAGAGGGAAGGAGGACAGCAATCCATGATGCACCTGCATCCTTTAGATGCATCATCTCAGCTGCGGGTCAGTTTGTACCTCCATTTGAACCCACATGGTTCCATTATTCCTGCCTACTGTAAACCAGGGATGGGCAGTTAATTCCCCAAAGAGCCACATGATTAACTATGATGGCTTTTAAGGGCCAAATTATTGTCTGATGTCAGTCAATCAAAGGTTTCTTAAATAATAAGCTAATATTTTATCTTCTGCTGGTACTTGGAGTCCTTGCACCAAAAAATAAAACATGACCCATCAGGTTCTTGCATCCTTTTGCAGGTTTAAAAAAATAATTATGTTTGACTTGTAAGTAATTATTAGTAATTAATTAAGGGCCTAATTTTCAAAGATGGCAAATAAAGGGCTTTTATTGCATGAAGAGATTTTTAAAGATAATCTACAAAGATTGTTGCACAAATGGAACCAGTGTGGTTCCACTTCATAAATTATTAGATTGTGTTTTCTACAGACAATTTGAGAGCATCTCTAAAAGAAAGATGAGGTTCTAAGCCATCTACATGTCAGGGTGAATGGAGTTTTGTAGAGGACCCAAATGCAGAGACAGAGGCAGAGATGGTTTCTTGCAGATTTAATGCTGAGGTTGGTGTCAACAGAAGCATAAATCCAGAAATAAATAAAAAGGGAACACAAACAAGAACAAAGGGTAACCAAGAACTTCAGGAGGGATAAAGAGAATCCAGCAGAAGATGAGTATGAATGCCAAACAGAACCAGAAATGGAGTAATCAAATAATTGGGAGCAGGTGTGGACAGAAATAGCTAGAAGGGAGCTAAGGGAAAATGAGAGGGGCAGTAGGGGGCAACAGAGGATAACCAGGGATTACAACAGGACTTTTATCTAACAAGGAAACTTAAATATAACTGAAAAAGAACTTAAATGAAGCTAAAAGGGAATTAAAGATGACAACATTTTCTTGTACTAAATACACTCTTTTTATATTGTCTATCGTATTTTAACTCTAATGGCTTCTTGCTTTAACTCTTTATACTCTATATAAGCTACTGGAACCATAATTTCCCTGAGGGAGTAATCCCAAGGGAAAAATAAATCTCTAAGTCTCAGAGTCTAAACAAATGAGTAGAAAATACAGAATGACCAAGAGGAAACTAGAGGATAGGGAAAGGGACTCTAGATGAAGTAAGGTAACTATGATGCCATGGTAAAACATAACCTAAAGATAACTGTAAACAATGAATGACAAAATAAAACTAGAGCAAAGACTAAAGACGAAGAGAACAGAACCAAAAGGTGCGAGGAGGGCCCTGAACATAGTATGTCAGTGTCATTATAAATCAGTGCATTGGCTTCATTTCAGTGTAACTCTTAAAAGCTTCAGCATTACCAGCATTTGTGCTCAAAAGCGCTTAATGAAATCCTTTAGGAGGGAGCCCAGATTTCATCAAAGGGCAGGTCCACTCATTTCTTATGAGTGTAGTGACCTGAATTCTAGCATAGTGGAGACAAAATTGAATGTATGTATTTTTATTTTATTTTATTTAATTGTGTAAAGATTGTCCTGTAATAAATCGTTCCAGCCTGCAAGGACCTTTTTCCATCATCATTATTTTACTGTTATTTCTGTTGGTCCAAATATGTTTCCATGCACACATAGGCTCTATACCAAGGCCTCCTTTATAGCATTTTCAGGAAATCCTATACACTACTGTTTATGCTCTAAAAACATTCTAAATGACTTTGTTTCGAGTAAATTCTGGATGCTACCCACTCAGGACACTTGGAATACATTGGATGAGCAGTATGGAGGAATATTGACACGTTTTTTGTGGACTTTTATGGACCTTTCTGTCTCGGGCACCATAGACCTCCATTATTTGAATGTCAGCAGACAGCAAGAAGCCTCCCAGATCTCCAGATGCATTTGAGATATCAAAAAAGTACTCCAGGGTGTTGTTCAGCATGGGGGTGAGTAGAAAATGAAGGCTAATCATGTTTTGGGTGTACTATTCCTTTAAGACACAAAAACCTTGCAAAGATCAGGCGCTGAGAGTAGTGCGGCACGTTATTTAGAAATTGTTATGATTATGTGAGGTGGGCATCAACGCCAGTCTGACTCCGTCTAACAGACTGCATATGTTATTGGGGTATCTACCTTAGCAATAATATGAATACAATAGTGCTTGGATGATAATATATCATGCAATATTTCTTTTGAGCTCCCTGTCTTGTTAAAATCTCCATCTGAATTAAAATTAGATTTGCGTTTGGGGTTGAAACCCTAATGTCTTCTATTGGCCATTGGAGGTTAATCATCTTCTGTCGGTAGTGTCTGATGAATGAGTTATAAGAATGCTAAAATAACACAATTGAATCAATTAATTTTTCATTTTGTTTGCTTTTTTAAGGCTTATTAGGACGCCATATTGTTATTCTCCCTCCATATGGACTAACTAAGACCTCAGATGCAACCAAAATAACTGATTTTTGCCAAAAGGTAAGAGGCAATATAATCCAATAAACAAATGTTCCGACACAGGAACATAAGCAGATTGTAGAAAATGACTTAAATAATGAAGAAGAAGGAATAATTTGGTGCATTGCTGGCACCAAACATACTGGAGAAGATTGCTCCTTTTCCGTAGGAGAAAATAAAGAGCGATCAGCAACCCTCTCAGCCACGTTTTGCTTATGTGTACGAGAAGCCTGAGTGGGTGTGTATCTGTACAGGATTTCACCATATGCTGTGGACTGAGAGAATAATAGCCCTCTTTACGCTCCATTATCCTGATAAAAAATGGCAGTGTGAACGGGCTAATAGATGAGCAGCTAAATTTGACCACGCTGTTTACTCCTTCTGAGCAAAACCAATGCGAGCTTTAGAATATGCTTATCAAGTTACATATTAATCACCTCGGGGCTGAATTCGAGATCATTCAGTTTCTCTTGAACTCTGACCACGTGTAGAAACAGATCTATTAAGATGCATGGGGCGAGGGAGAGTTTCAAGAGAGAAGCTCCCTTTTGTTCTGAGGGAATTCGTGAAGAAAAAAAAAAGAAAGAAAAGCTCTCGGTGTGTGTAAAGACTGTGAATTTAGAGTCCGACGGAGCCAAGACCACCCCGGCATTCAACGAGCCGGGCTAAAGAGCGCAGGATGGAGTGAAAAGAGCAGGAGAGACAGAGGGAGCTTAACATTTGTGTCTCCAGGTCACTAAAGTGGCCAGCTTTAGCAGGAGAGATAACAGGATTACTGCAATCATGGCCAAAGTTTTCTATGACTTCAACCCCCTTTCATTTCCTTCCCCACCCCCCACCCCCTGTCCTACTGGCACAAACCGGAGCTGGAGCTGTGATGGACTTGGGCCGGGCTCCACTGGGAAACAAGAGACACTCGTACAGCTAATCTCCTCAGCCTGGTGCTGACAGAAAGAGGTTAGTGGCTGCACCAAACTCTCTCTTGCAATGAATAAAAAATAAAAAATAAAAAATCACATAGCTGTCAGGAAAGCTAAATAACTCAAGCTAAACAAATCAAAAGTATAACCAAAGCCCTATCATTTAAAAGCCGGACTTGCACAAAACTGCAGAGTTCTCTGATAGGAAGGTCAAGCTCTTGGATGTGGTCTTCTCTTGTTCTGGCTTTGTGTATAATAAACTGATTAACTTAACCAGCTCTGATGGGGATTACAAGCTGCGTTTGATCAGTTAATTAGTCAAGCTACATGCTGTCTGAAACATAGAGGCTGTAATACCCTTATAAATTCACACCCAACCCTCTACTAATAGCAACACTGTGCCCTCATGTCCAAAAATGTGCCTTCACAAGGCCGATCCATTTCCAGAGTAGCTCTTTTTAGGCAAATGTATTTGTTTATAGAGAGTAGGCAGGCTATGTGGGCTCCATAAATCTGTGTATCTGTCAGCAGGATGTGACAGGCTTTTCCTCTCTGACTGAGAGTCTATCAGTCTGAGCTCCAGTGGCCGTGCCCGCTACAGTCAACTCTGATTAATAACTACAAATAGAAGGAACTTGTCTGCCCAGAAATAAATGGGGACTGTATTTGCTTGGGAAAAGATGCACATTTCTGCCTGATAAATCACAGGGGAGGATGAAAGAGAACAGCAGCACGCACAGGAGTACAGAAATATAATGTACAAACAATTTCTCAGCTTGGCTCAGTGATAAAGCTCACTGCCTTGTTTAACTTGATGCAACCAATTACTTGGATATGCTCATCTGCTTTTATATTTATATACCTATATCTATGTATATTTCGTGAGACCCCCCCCCCCCAGAACATTTCTGATGGGAGGATCAAAAAAACTGTTTGTATTACACTCTCACATGCTTCCTTTCCTGACTCTGACACATGAAAGCTAAAGGTTTATGCTCAGATGTAGTTGGCAGCTCTAGAGGTAGCAAAGCAAAGCCATAGTGGGAGCACATAAACTGTTTACAAGCCTGTTAAAATGAAAATCAGAATTATCTCCTGAGGTCGTACAATGGACGGAAGGATCTTTCAGCTACTATTTAACAAACCCGGCGTCCAGTTAAACACTCATTTATATTCATTTTAACAGCATTGCAGGGATACTGAGAAGTAAAATCTTGAGCTCAAACATTTCAGAAATCTTAGTTAGACTCCGAGTCAAATGCTAAAACATGTTTAAAGCTTTTGTCCTTCTATCTAGATAGAGTTGCAACACACAGCAGTTAAAAGGAAAATTGAAGCTTTATTTTTTGAAGTCAGTTGTTAATAGGAGTCAGTGTAGAAGTCCCAGTTTTAGTAAACAACTGTAAGATTGTCAAGTTAACAGGCAATTATTAAGACAGAGAAACACTAATAACGCAAGAAACCTCAGCTTGCTTAGTTTTAAAACAAAGAAAGGAAATGCACAGCAACAGTTATGAGGACAGAGGCTTGCTCTGCAGCAGCCTTTGGAGTCCAATCTAACTGGAAAGTAAAGGCAAATAGGGACAGCCTTAAAATACAAGGTCCTGTCCTTTCAAAAGCTTTGCTCAAAGAATTTTCCAGCAAACACCATCATCTAATCACATCATTTCACTAAAGCACCACTGCGTAACTTTTGACCCAAGTATTTGATTCATTTGGAATATATTCAAGGGATTTTCAGGTAATTTAGCACTTGGTGTGTATCAGTGCTGCTTTTCTAAAGAAAATACCGATGTAAATGTAAATCGCTTTAATGTCAGACAATGGGGAAATTCACTCTCTGCATTTAACCCATCCCCTTGGGGAGCAGTAGGCTGCCATTGTGTGGCACCCGGGGAGCAGTGTGGGTTTTTGCTCAGGGTTTTTGCTCAGGGGCCCAGAGTGCTAACCTGACTCCGCCAGATGGATTTGCTCTGCATATCCATCTGGAAACCTTCCGTTGAAGTAATTTTGTGAAGGGGCGAAAATACTGGTTAGCTGATTGGCCTATGTTGGTGATAGACGGGCCAAATAAACCAATCAGATCAACGAAACATATGACGTACTAACAGAGCGACGACGAAAACACAACCACAAGCCAGGCTACTCTTGCCGAAACCAGTCGGGAGAAGAGCAAAAACATCTTTTCCTCTGAGAAAAGCCTCCAGAGCAGTGTTTTGCTCTTCTTTCAGTGAAGAAATACAGTGTAATTCCGATAAAACTTGCTCGATAGCCACGCTAACGCTAGTTTCATCGGCTGAAGCCGCCATGTTCTTTAGACTGAACTGTCGCGCTTCTCGTTGCGTCACACCTCAACCCGCCTCAAAGCCAACGCCCCGAGAGGGAACGTCTATTAGTTGCCTGCAGGAGCCCATTTTTCCTGGTGCATGCTCTGTTTAAAAGTTGCTGTTTGCATCGCTCATACAAGCTTACTTTCCAAGAGATGATTTGCAGTTTCTCCACTATGTCAGACTCACCACCAGTAAGTGAAAATAGGGACAAGCATGTAGGTCGGCGTCACTTAAACATATTACTAGAATGACTGACAGTTAGGAGGACCACCTATTTTGATGATCTATCTGGAAAAAGAACATCCTCCACTATACCTTTAACTACCTGCAATTTCGTTTGTTTTTTATAGCTACAGAAAAAAGGCCAAGGTCACTTTTGTTTTTTTAATTTCCATTGCTCTGTTAAGCATCAGAATTATTTAAAATAAAGATAATGATGTACACTATATTGCCAAAAGTATTTGCTCACCTGCCTTGACTCACATATGAGCTTAAGTGACATCCCGTTCCTAATCCATAGGGTTCAATATGACGTCGGTCCACCCTTTGCAGCTAGAACAGCTTCAACTCTTCTGGGAAGGCTGTCCACAAGGTTTAGGAGTGTGTTTATGGGAATTTTTGACCATTCTTCCAGAAGCGCATTTGTGAGGTTGCACACTGATGTTGGACGAGAAGGCCTGGCTCTCAGTCTCCGCTCTAATTCATCCCAAAGGTGTTCTATCGGGTTGAGGTCAGGACTCTGTGCAGGCCAGTCAAGTTCATCCACACCAGACTCTGTCATCCATGTCTTTATGGACCTTGCTTTGTGCACTGGTGCACAGTCATGTTGGAAGAGGAAGGGGCCAGCTCCAAACTGTTCCCACAAAGTTGGGAGCAGGGAATTGTCCAAAATGTCTTGGGATGCTGAAGCATTCAGAGTTCCTTTCACTGGAACTAAGGGGCCAAGCCCAGCTCCTGAAAAACAACCCCACACCATAATCCCCCCTCCAACAAACTTTACACTTGGCACAATGCAGTCAGACAAGTACCGTTCTCCTGGCAACCGCCAAACCCAGACCCGTCCATCAGATTGCCAGATGGAGAAGCGCGATTCGTCACTCCAGAGAACGCGTCTCCACTGCTCTAGAGTCCAGTGGCGGCGTGCTTTACACCACCGCATCCGACGCTTTGCATTGCACTTGGTGATGTATGGCTTGGATGCAGCTGCTCGACCATGGAAACCCATTCCATGAAGCTCTCTGCGCACTGTTCTTGAGCTAATCTGAAGGCCACATGAAGTTTGGAGGTCTGTAGTGATTGACTCTGCAGAAAGTTGGCGACCTCTTCGCACTATGCGCTTCAGCATCCGCTGACCCCGCTCCGTCAGTTTACGTGGCCTACCACTTCGTGGCTGAGTTGCTGTCGTTCCCAAACACTTCCATTTTCTTATAATACAGCTGACAGTTGACTGTGGAATATTTAGGAGCGAGGAAATTTCACGACTGGATTTGTTGCACAGGTGGCATCCTATCACAGTTCCACGCTGGAATTCACTGAGCTCCTGAGAGCGACCCATTCTTTCACAAATGTTTGTAAAAACAGTCTGCATGCCTAGGTGCTTGAATTTATACACCTGTGGCCATGGAAGTGATTGGAACACCTGATTCCAATAATTTGGATGGGTGAGCAAATACTTTTGGCAATATAGTGTATGTAAAAAACATAACAAACAAAATAAAGAAAAAAAACTACACCATTGCACAACAACATTAGTCCATTTAGTGGCAGTAATAAGGAATAAAGTTGCCATCAGGTATTCCTGCCTTTCACCTTTTCTCACTAGTATCTCTGACAGTGTGAAGCAAACAACTCTAAACTAAAATAGACTAAACAGGAACCATTGTGTGTCATCTGAATCATTCAATCAATCAATGATATCTTTCTTTTTTCTTTTACTCTTCTTGAGTTTGAAACATGCAAGGAGTCAGACCTTTTCTCCTGATAGAGCAAGCCTGGACCACCAGGAAAGGTGATCCAACAGGTGAGCTGGCTGCAATCACATTGAAAATGTCTGATTGTAGTTAAGAGGCATCCTGACAAATCAAACATGTATTTTAGTTTTTACACAGTTATATCATTGGCTGAATATTTAGTGAAAGATTTTTTTTATATCAGAGAAAGTTTAAGGGATCAAACATGAATCAAAGTTTTTGCCACAACCCTTATCCACTTCCATCTCTTCCTTGGATAAAAGTCCTATTCCCCAGATGAAAACCTTTTATACGGCAAACTTTAAATTACTCTGGTAAAATCATATGGAAACATGTGGAGGGCCTTTGAAAGGTCCAGTAATGGAGACTAGGCTAAATAATAAACAGTAAAAACAGGCATCTAAAAATAAACCCAAAATCATCATAGCAAAACAACAACTATGATTGTTAAAAAGAAAGAAAGAAAAATAAATCCCAGACAAAGATTTATAAGCAGGTAATAACTAATTAAAATGAACAGTTATGTTGGTACAAACCCAGATTAGTTAATTGCAAACATTAAGATTAAGACCTACCATGTGAAGAAGAAAAATTATGTCAACCTGATAAATGAAAATTATGTAACAGGAACATCAAAACCATTGCTACAATTTCCTTTGGGAGGGTTGAGCTAAAAATTGGTGCACCTCCAATAGTCTCCTAAGTGAAGCAGATAATGGGTTAAAATGTTTCGGGCA